GCATAAGGGCTGGAGCGATAGCACAGTGGGTAGGGCATTTGCCATGCACATGGCCGACCTAGGTTTGATTCCTCTGGCCCTCTCGGAGAGCCAGGCAAGCTACCAAAAGTATTCTACCCACACGGCAAAGCCTGGCAAGCTACCCATGGCGTATTCGATATGCCAAAAACATTAACAACAAGTCTCAATAGAGACGTTACTGGTGCCTGCTCGAGCAAATCAATGAACCACAGTGTTACAGTTCAGTGTTATTATGCATAAAAGCACAATTCCAAAAATAAGAAGGGGGCATGAACAGGAATGTCCAGGCAACAAATACATAAAGTCTTCTTACCCCTAACTTTTTCAATGTTAAAAAAAATTTTTATTTTATTTTATTTTAATTTTTTTTTAAATTTATTTATTTATTTATTTTGCTTTTTGGGTCACACCAGGCAATGCACAGGGGTTATTCCTGGCTCTGCACTCAGGAATTACTCCTGGCGGTGCTCAGGGGACCATATGGGATGCTGGAAATTGAACTCAGGTCGGCCGCATGCAAGGCAAACGCCCTACCCGGTGTGCTATTGCTCCAGCCCAGAAAAAAAAAATTATGCAGCTGAAAAGCATTGGCAAAAGGCTATTGATCCAGATAAATCAACATATCTGGCTTAGGGAGGAAGAAAAGGGGAAATAAAATGAAAAGAAGAAGTAAAAGCTTGGGGAAGAGAATATGCTTGTATCTTTACAGGAAAAGATGCCAAGCTTGTCCCTCAAGATATTGATTAAGCAAATGGAAAAGACCCATTGAGCACTACTGTCCCACTGGGGACAAATAAATTCTTCCCACAAGACAGGAAGAGTTCTGACCCAGACCAATAAAACACCAACCACTCTGTTTATGAAGGTATGAGTAAGTTATGCAGGTAAGCAAATTGCTGATAGTAGTATGGGAGAATACACCACCGTTTGCATTCATTGATGAAACTGTTTGGATGCCTGATTCAGGGGACCCTAGAGCCCAAGAAAAATCATCTAGAATAATGTACCTCAGAAATTATTTTTTATTAGTGAAACACTATGAGGTACAGTTATAGACTTACAAATTTTTGTGCTTGGGTTTCAGTTACACAATGATCAAGTACCCATCCCTCCACCAGTGCCCATCCTCCACCACCACTGGTCCCAGCATCCCTTCCACCCCCCATCCCCCCCATCCCACCCTGCCTCTGTGGCAGGTCATTCCCTTTTGTTCTCTCTCTCTCTCCTTTTGGGTCCTGTGGTTTGCAAGAGAGGCATTGAGTGGCAATCATGTTTGGTCTAGTCTACTTTCAGCATGCTTCTCCCATCCTGGGAGGATCCTCCCAACACCTTTATTTGGTGCTCCCTTCTCTATCTGAGCTTCCTTTTCCCCTAGCACATGTGGTTGGCCTCCAAGTCATGGAGCAAAATTCCTGGTATTAATCTCGGCCACTACTGGGTGTTAGTCTCCCATTTTGTTACTTTATGTTCCCCAGATGAATGCAATCTTTCTGTGTCTATCCCGCTCTTTCTGACTCATTTCGCTTACCATGATACTTTCCATGTAGCACCTCTTGTAAGTAAATTTCATGACTTCATCTTTTCAGAAATTATTTTGGCTTTATCACATCCCCCACCTGTATCTTGTTATCTTATTGAAGAACTCGAATGGCTCAGTTTCACTAAGAAGTGAAACTGCTCATACAAACTTGTGCAGTAATACCTTATGTTAAGTATTGAGAAAGAACCTCTCAGTACCTGCATTGCAAACCATAATGACCCAAAGTGGAGAGAGAAGGAAAGTGCCTGCCAGAGGCTGGGGGGAGAGTGGAGGGAGAGGAAGTGGGGATACTGGTTGTAGGATATGGACACTGGTGGAGTGATGGGTGTTGGAACTGAGTATAACTAAAACCCAGCCACAAAGAGCCCTGTAACTCGGTGTCTCATGGTGATTCAATTTAAAAAACAAATCTAATGCAATCTTCTAAAACATATACAACTTCTTAGTATTAAATAGGGGTCATTGATATGTTATAGTTCAGGCTTTGCATGGATGAGGCCTTACGTTCAATCCCTGGCTCCACGCACAAAAAAATTGTTCTCACCCGGTATGAAATGAATTATAACTTTCATCAAGCTTTTTGCTTTTAAGTTTTATTTATTTATTTATTGCTTTTTGGGTCACATCCTGCGATGCTCAGGGGTTACTCCTGGCTCTGCACTCAGGCGATTACTCCTGGCGGTGCTCAGGGGAACATATGGGATGCTGGGAATCGAACCTGGGTTGACCACGTGCAAGGCAAACGCCCTACCCGTTGTACTATCTCTCCAGTCCCTGCTTTTAAATTTAAAGTGACCAACTTTGTTAACTCATTTGTGTTAGAAAATAAAATTACATATTTAACTTCAAAAAAAAAGTTTTGAGAAAGACACTTTGCTCTGTGACTCTTGCAGACGTATCTGTATCACTTGCTTAAATTCCAGCATTTTTTTTTCATTTTTTTTTCTTGCTTTTTGGGTCATACCCAGCGTTGCACAGGGGTTACTCCTGGTTCATGCACTTAGGAATTACTCCTGGTGGGGACCATATGGGCTGCTGGGAATCGAACCCGAATCGGCCTCGTGCAAGGCAAACACCCTACCCACTGTGTTATTGCTCCAGCCCATCCAGCATATCTTTAAGAGCTATCATTCCTTTTACTCAAAGCCAGAGGGCACAAATGGGTGCCTGTTAATCTTTCCAGGGCATGGCAGGACTCTCCTCCAATCTACATTGCAGAAAGCTTGTTAGAGAAGCTACTGAAAAGATCTCAAGGTTTTTAATGAGTGTTTATCCTTGGAATTATGGGATTAATAGCATTAATGACCACCACAGCTGCTGCTGGAACTGCCCTCCACCAGGGCATCCAAATTATCTGTTTTATTGAAAACTGCATAAATATTCTAGTTTATTAAGACGTTGTCAAGAAAAAATTCATACAAAAATTGTTACCCAAATAGCAGATTTACTATACACAGTGGTTTTTCTTGGGATAAAATACTAAATCTGGGGGCTGGAGCAATAGCACAGCGGGTAGGGCGTTTGCCTTGCACACGGCCGACTCAGGTTCAAATCTCAGCATCCCATATGGTCCCCTGAGCACCGCCAGGAGTAATTCCTGAGTGCATGAGCCAGGAGTAACCCCTGTGCATTGCTGGGTGTGACCCAAAAACCAAAAAAAAGAAAAAACTATATCTGCAAACTAAAGCTCATTTAAAATGTGATTAAAATTTTACCCAGTTCTGTGTTACTCTCAAAATGAAACACAGCAGTTCTGGGAATTAATTAGAAATCATTTGCTTAAGCAGGGAAATGTTTCTTATGATATACAACATTTGCAACTTAATCTTTGAAACTTTCACAAATCAATTTTTTTTTTCTGGCAGTGGCCTATTTGGATGCATGGCTGATGGTATAACCAGTCTCAATCCATTCAAACATTTCTCATCCCTTATGGCAATTATAACAGCTCTTCTTTTAGTTGTTATATTTGCACCATTAGGTGTACTCTGGAGAAGCAACCACATAACCCGTGCCACCAACAGGACTGAGCTGTCTGAAATAGTGAAACAACTAGCCCACAAAGAAAAAATAATAATTATAATTATAATAAATATGGGGAGCGGACTCCACGCCAGGCTGTGGGGAGGGTAAGAGCCCTCCCCCCACCCAAGGGACCCAGCCCCAGCAGCCAACCTCCATTACCCAACCACTGCCACGCTCTAGGCCACTTCCTGGACACTCAGGCCGAGCCTCATGCATGAATGAACTCCCACAGAACCCAGATAATTCTAAATTTTGTGACCTTGGACTCTGGACTCAACGGGACCCGAAACAGAGATCCTCTGCCTGCTTCTCCTAGTCTCGGGTGACTCAGGGATCATACCTATAACCCACACAAGCACCAGAAAGTCTCCTCATGGCCACCATCCAGGACTCACGGATGCTCCTCCCAGATGGGAGTATAAAAGAGGTCACCAGAACCATGCACTGGACTCCGCGCCAAGCTGTGGGCAGGTAAGAGCCCTCCCCACCCCAAGGGACCCACCCAGCCCCAGCAGCCAACCTCCACTGACCAACCACCACCATGCTTCAGCCCACTTTCCGGACACATTCTAAGACACTTCCTACCCATTTTCCATGTTTACTACGGCATATCTGATGGGGTTCAGACAGTAGGCAACAAATCATAGAATGAAATATATAAATATATGCCTCTCAAAGAGCCCAGCAAGCTACCAAGGGTATCCTGACCACACGGGCAGAGCCTGGCAAGCTCCCATGGTGTTTTCGATATGCCAAATACAGTAACGACAACAGGTCTCATTCCTCTGACCCTGAAAGAGCCTCCAATCGTTGGGAAACGATGAGTAAGAAGAGGCTGCTAAAATCTCAGGGCTGGGAAGAATAGAGATGTTACTGGCTCTCGCTCGAGTTTATCAATGATCAACGGGATGACAGTGATACAGTGCTACAGTGAAATATGGGGAAATGCATTTACTCCTGTCCTCGGGAGAAAAGCCTAAAGGGCAAATTTATCATTTTGAGTTCAGAGCCAAGAGTTATCCCTGAGCACCACTGAGTGTGGCACAAAACACCATAAATAAATAAACAAGATAAAATGCTCAGTGAAAAATTAAATGAACTGAAAATCTAATAGGTGGCGGTCTTCCAGCCTGCAGAGGGCGCTCCAGTCAGAGCCGCGCCTCCGGGTCTCCCGGCACCCTGGTCACAAGATCCCGTTGCTAGGAGACGGAGACGCATTTAAGGCTGGCGAACCCATCCTAGGCGCTCACTCTCCCTTTCTGCCCCTTGGGCTGAGCTCTCCGGTCCCACTGCAGACCAGGGGCGCTTTTGGAAGGCTGCTTTCGGTGGGGCCCTTTTCCTCGTTGGAGTTGACTGCCTGAAACGCGCTGCGGCAGGCTACATCCTTGCCCACGTCTGGCCCCCTTAAGCAACTATGCCCAGGAAAGGGAGAAAGAGCAAGGGACCCCTTTCTGAAGAGGAACAGCTGCTTCTATTACAGCAGAAGTTACTCGCAGAGGAGGAGATGACCAAGAAGAAAGAGCGACTCCTGAGCCAGTACTTGAAGGTGATGGTTTTCTGCTTTCCTCCCTGCCCGCCCCTTTCACCCTGCGTGTGGCAGCCTCCTTGTTCAAGATCTCCCCTCCTTCAGGAATCTTAAGTCCCAGATTTACTTCGATTTCAGGGAACATTGTATTTTTTTTTAATTTTTGTTAGTGAAACACCATGAGGTACAGTTGTAGACTTACACATTTTTGTGCTTGGGTTTCAATTATACAATGATCAAGTACCCATCTCTCCACCAGTGCTCATTCCCCACCTCCAATGCTCCCAGCATCCCTCCCACCCACACCCCATCCCATCCCACTCCTGTGGCAGGGCATTTCCTTTTGTTCTCTCTCTCCTTTTGAGTGCTGTTGTTTGCAAAAGAGGCATTGAGTGGCAATCATGTTCGGGCTATAGTCTACTTTCAGCATGCATCTCTCAATCTGGGAGGATCCTCCCAATACCCTTTACTTGGTATTCCCCTCTCTATCTGAGCTGCCTTCTCCCCCAGCATGTGCAGCTGGCCTCCAAGCCATGGACTGAACCTCCTGTTACTTATCTTGGCTATTCTTGGGTGTTAGTCTCCTATTTTGTTACTTTATATTCCCCAGATGAACGGAATCTTTCTATGTCTGTCCCTCTCTTTCTGACTCATTTCACTTAGCATGATACTTTCCATGATACTTTCCACATAGTACCACTTGTATGTAAATTTCACGACTTCATCTTTTCTAACAGCTGCATAGTACTCCATTGTGTAGATGTACCAAAGTTTCTTTAACCAGTCATCTGTTCTCCAGCACGCAGGTTTTTAACATTGCATGTTTTTTTTTTTTTTTTTTTTTTTTTGCTTTTTGGGTCACACCCAGTGATGCACAGGAGTTACTCCTGGTTCATACACTCAGGAAATTACTCCTGGCCATGCTTGGGGGACCATATGGGATGCTGGGAATCGAACCCTGGTCAGGCCACGTGCAAGGCAAACGCCTTACCCGTTGTGCTATCACTCCAGCCCCAACATTGCATGTTTTGGAGGGAGGAACAGTTCTCTGTGAAACATGGAGTAGGGCTGGTAATAGCTCAGCAGTCCGCGTCAGCCTCAGGAGTGGGTTGTACAGTTATGCCTGCTGAAAGAATGAGGCGCAAAGGATGAGTGTTTGATCATTGTGTGATTGTAATCCAAACATGAAAGCTTGCAACTATCTCACGGTGATTCAATAAAATTAAAAAAAAAAAAAAGAAAAAGAAAAAGAATGAGGCGCAGAAGCCAGCGCCATAGTACAACGGCGGGTAATGTGTGGCCAACCCAGGTTTGATCCCCTGCACCACATATGAACCTCTGTGAGCCCATCAGAAGTGATTCCTGAGTTCAGAGCTAGGAGTAGCCTCTGAGCACCAGCAGATGTGGCCCAATGTGTCCCCGTCTCCCCCTCCCTCCCATGGGATGCAGTCGCAACATGTTTCTGGAGATTTCATTCCTTTTGGGGGGTGAGGGGTCACACCCAACTATGCGGGCTGGTGAGACCTTTTGTGGTGCAGGGCATCTAACCCGTGTTGGCTGTAAGCAAGGCAAGCGCCCTACCCACCATGCTGTTGCTGCAGCCTCTACTTCATCCTCTTGAGAACTGTGCTTACACAGACACCCATGCGCAAACTAACAAACCTCGCTGTAGAGACATCACTATCCTGTAGGGATCAACAAAGGATGAATCTGTTCTTTGTTGAAGAAAAAGACCTTATGTAGCTTTAGGTGCCGTCAACACTGTAGAACTGTCAGAAACTCCAATATTCCCCCTGGAGATGGGATCATTATAAACATTATTCTATACTGATGTCTCCCTCTGAAGGAAATTTTCCTTTCCCGTCCCCAAAAGTGAAGGACCTATTAGCTATCTCACTTCATATCCTCCCCAAGTAAGAACAGGTCCTTCTGGGGACAGTGATAGTCAGCAGGGAGGGCATTTGCCAACCCAGGCATAGGTTTGATCTCTGGTGTCCCATTATTTAGCCCCGCCAGGAGTTACCCTTGAGTCTGGAGCCAGGACTATTGCCAGGTGTGGCCCCCAAACCAAAACCAAAACTAAACTTGAAAAAAAAAACACAAACACAGGACTTTGCTAAGTGTTCAGTAACTATGCTTCCACAAAAAAAGACAAAGAGTAGCTCTCGGTTGACAAACTGTAATCATGCTTGTTGCACTGCACCAGGGCTTTGAGGGCTCCTAATGAAGGTCCACTTATTCCTTCCTACAGGACAAGCTGGCCAAGGAAGAACGTAACAGTGTTTTGAACCTGAAAAAGATCAACACGCAGTGGAGAGCCATCCTTCGAGAAGTCAAGACCAAAGAGCTTCAGAAGGACATCGAGGTCCTCAGCCAGACCTTTGAGCGGGTGGTAGACTGCAAGGATAGTGTCATCAAGGTGGGCTGTCTCCCAAGAAGTCCTTGAGTATGGCTGCCTCTTATTAGAATACGTCTGATGAATTAAGAAATCATTCCTTTTCTTTTCTTTTCTTTTTTTTCTTGACACACCTGTTCTGTGCAGAGATCTGACTCCTGGCTCTGTGCTCAGGGATAACTCTAGTGGGCTTGGAGGAGAATGTGAGGTGCTGGAGATTGAAACCGTATTTTGTTTGTTTGTTCGTTTTGGTTTTGTGGCACACACAGCAGCTCTCAGGGGTTGCTTCTGGCTCTGCACTCAAGAATTACTCCTGGCAGTGCTTGGGGGACCATATGGGATGCAGGGAGTTGAGCCTGGGTCAGCTGCAGGCAAGGCAAGTGCTCTACGCGCTGTACTCTTCTCCAACTCCTTCATAAGGTCCTTTTGTTTGGCTTTTTGGAGTGACACCCAATAGTACCAGTTGTGCTGCCCCTAGCTTAGTGCTCTGTGTTCTGTGTGGGGCCAGGATTGGATTGGCTTATCAGCTCATGAGTGATCTCTCCAGCTTGAGTATTCTTTTCTAAATGATTTATAAATGTTTTTTGTTGTTGTTGTTTCTGTGCTACACCCAACCATGCTCACGGATTACTTATTCCTGGCTCTGCGCTCAGGGATCACTCCTGGATGGACTTGGGGGCCATATGGGATGCTGGGGATCGAATCCAGGTTGGCCAGTGCAAGACAAGCACCCTATCTGCTATATATCTTTATGATTCACTCAAACAATTCTTTTATACTAAACATAGAAGGTAAAAGCTAGCTCTGAGGACCAAAAAGATGGTACAGAGGCTGAGGCTTTTGCCGTGTATGCAGCAGACACCGGTTTGAACCTCATCACCACATATGGTCCCCTGGCATTTCCAGGAGTGACCTCTGAGTATAGAGTCAGGTGTAAGCCTTGAACACTGTCGGGTAGCCTGCAAACTGAAAGAAAAAGAAAAGAAGAAAAACAAGATGCTTAAGGCAAGGGCCTTAACTCCTATTTTGTTTTTCTACAACTGCGTAGTATTCTATATTGTACATAATGCATTACTCTGTTCTCTGTTTCCTATATCCTGGTACTTGGACATAGAAGCTTGTGTTTTTCCATCAGTAAAACATACAATTTTCTTTTATTTATTTTTATAATATTAGCAGCTGTTTAATATCTTTCTATTGAGGTTTGTAAATGCTAATTTTCTGATCATATACTTCTATAAAGATATTTCTAATGACTATGAATACTGGAGCGATAGCACAGCGGTAGGGCGTTTGCCTCGCATGCAGCCAACATGGCCGACCTGAGTTCGATTCCTCCGCCCCTCTCGGAGAGCCCGGCAAGCTACCGAGAGCATCTCGCCCGCACGGCAGAGCCTGGCAAGCTCCCCGTGACGTACTCGATATGCCAAACACAATAACAACAAAGTCTCCAATGGAGACGTTACTGGGCCCGCTCCAGCAAATCGATGATCAACGGGAGGACCTTTACTTACTTACTTTTTATGAATACTTCTATATCTACTTCTAATCATTCACCATTCAACTGCCCAGAGCTACATATATTACATAATACACACACACACACACATGCACACACACACACACACACATGCACACACACACATACATACACAAATACTTATTTCCCTTTTCTTTATATGCACTTTATGTTTTAAATGACTTGGTTGGGCCTGGAGATGTAATCCATTGGTAGTCTCGCAGTCACCGGGCTGCACGTTCAATCCCCCACACGACTCCACATACAAATGCCATCCTGGAGACACAGCTTTTATGATCTCTAGTACCCCCCCCCAAAATGTATAATCTCTTGGATCTAAGTGTGTGAGCATCACAATCAAGAGTATGACCTCCATAATGAAGCATGTGGGATTCATGATCATCACAATAAAAGAGAAGGGGAGAAGATGAGACATAAATAACAAAGCTGTCCGTCTGGGCTGGAGTGAATGCTTTGCACACAGGAGCCTTGGGTTCCAGCCCCAGCTCCACATGGTCTGAGCACTGCCAGGTATGGTTGACCCCCAAAAAATTAAAATGGATTGGCTCTCTGGCATCTTTCCATGGTGACTGAATTTTTGTTTTGCTTTGGTTCTTGGACGCCCAGCTGTTCTCAGTGGCTCTGTGCTCAGGTTAGGGATCACTTCTTGTGGGGCTCCGGGGACCATATGGGATCCTGGGGATCAAACCCAGGTCAGCTGCATGCAAGGCAACTGCCTCACCTGCTCCATTATCTCTCTGGCCCCTAGTTTGTTTATTTTTTAATTTATTTATTTTAAGCGTCTTGGACCACACTAAGCAATGTTCAGGGGCTACTCATGCTTTGCACTCAGGAATTACTCCTGGCAGGGCTTGGGAGACCACAGGGGATACTGGGGATTAAACCCAGATTTTCTGCTTGCAAGGCAAACACCCTACAAGCTGTACTATTGCTCCAACCCTTAATTTTAAAAAGTCACTTGCACCATATTCTAATCATCCAAGTTGTCACAGGATCTGTCCAAATTGGAGCAGGTGGAGAAGAGAGACTACCTCTTGCTTGAGGGATGGTCACATTGCAGACGGTGGGGTATTTTCCTGTCTTTGGAAAACATAATCTCCCACAGCAAGCCACATTTTGTTGGTTCCTAAGTCCTTTTGACATGACCCTATTAGTTCTGATAGCTTCTCTACAATGTAAGTTTTGATGTCATACCCAGTGATGCTCAGGGGTCACTCCTGGCTCTGCATTCAGGAATTAATGACTATGTGGGATGCTGGGGATTGAACCGTGGTTGACCATGTGTAAGGCAAATGCTCTACCTGTTGTAATGTCTCTCCAGCCCCTGCTTCTCTACAATCTTGTGCAAAAAATCTACTCGAGGTTTTTAATGTGTTTCTTTCATTCCCCAGATCTCAAATCAGTCATTTCTCCAAGAATCCCCAGTTCTGGGACCAGAGCAATAATACAGTGTGTAAGGCAGGGGCCGGAGAAATAGTACAGCGGGTAGAATGCTTGACTTGTACACAGTAGACCCAGGTTCAATCTCTGGCACCCTACAGGTCCGCAAGCCCTGAGTGCAGTCCCAGGAGCAAGCCTTGAGCACTGCTGGGTGTGGACCCAAAACAGAAATAAACAAACAAAATCCCCAGATCTTGTTAGTAGAAACCCATTACTTGTCACAGTCACTGCCAGCTACGTGTCCCTCTCAATTTACATTCCAGAGTAAAACCTACTCTTCAGACAGCTCCCTAGACCCAAAGAATTGGCATGAGGAACGAGAGGGAAATTCCATTGATGTAACCCAGCTGGCCAGCTGAATCCACCTTATTTTCTCACACACATGCCCGTGAACAAAGCGGTGACTCTGTATTTCCTGCCCAGTCTTTAGCTAAGGACCTGGTCGAGGCCGAGGAGCAGTACGCCCATGCCCTGCGCAGCCACTTGCACAACGTGGACCAGCTGTTGTCCCTGCAGAGGAGCCGGCTCAACCTCCTGGAGGAAAGTTACAACACGGAGCTCGAAGCCCTGACCAAGGAGTTTGAGTCAGAAAGGTCTGGAGAACTCAGGGTGATGGGGACAGATCCAGAGTCCGTGTCTGCCAGCACCCCACAGCACCCACCTCGATCAGAGCATGACTCCCAAGGGAGAACATGCTGCATTTCTTCTAAATTAACTCGCACTTCCTCCCTTTGCCTAGGCCAGGTCCCTCTTTGTGTTTTTGTTTGTTTGTTTTTTGTTTTTTTTTGGGGGGGTCACACCCAGCGATGCACAGTGGTTACTCCTGGCTCTTCACTCAGGAATTACTCCTGGCAGTGCTCGGGGGACCATATGGGATGCTGGGAATCGAACCTGGGTCGGCCGCGTGCAAGGCAAATGCCCTACCCACTGTGCTATCACTCCAGCCCCCAGGTCCCTCTTTGGAACACCCACGTTGAACTGTCTGGTTGGGACAGGGATGGAAAAGAGACTTCTCACTGTGACCTCCTGGACTTAAAAAAAAATGTTGGATAGCCAGAGCAATAGTATTGCGGGGAGGGCCTTGCACACAGCCAATCTGGGTTTGGTCCCCAGCATCTCATATGGTCCCCTGAGCACCACTAGGAGTGATTCCTAAGTGCAGAGCCAGAAATAACCTCTGAGCATTGCTGGGTGTGACCCAACAAGCTCCCCTCCTGCCCCCCCAAAAAAGAAATGTTGGAGGGGGCTGGAGTGATACACAGCAGGTCGGGTGTTTGCCTTGCAAGCAGCCAACCTGGGTTAGATCCCATATGGTCCCCCAAGCACTAATTCCTGTGTGCAGAGTCAGGAGTAGCCCCTGAGCATTGCTGGGTGTGACCACCCCCCAAAAAAGTTGGAATCATAAGTGATTCAAAGTAAGAGCATCTGGGGGCTGGAGTGATAACACACCGGGTAGGGCATTTGCCTTGCATGCAGTCGACCTGAGTTCGATCCCCGGCATCCCATATGGTCCCCCAAGCACCGCCAGGAATAATTCCTGAGTGCAGAGCCAGGAATAACCCCTGAGCATCGCTGGGTGTGACCCAAAAAGCAAAAAAACAAAAACAAAAGAATCACAATCACAAATCACAAATCATCCTGTTAATCATCGATTGCCTCGAGCAGGCCCCAGTAACGTCTCCTTCATCCTAGCCCTGAGATTATATTCAAGGCTCTTTAGGAGAATGAGACCCATCATTGTTACTGGTATTTGGCATATTGGGTACGCCACGGGGAGTTTGCCAGACTCTGCCATGTGGGCAGGCTACATTTGGTAGCCTGCCAGTTTGTCCAAAGTAGGAATGAGATAATAAGATGTTATAACAAGATGTCACGCGGCCGCATTTGCGGCCGCGCGGTTCCAGGATCTGGTTTTTATAGTCTCTGAGTCTTGGCCGCTGATGGGATTACACGGCGCCAGGGGGCCAGTTGGAGGGTGTGACCCCCGCCTACTGGAATTTGGAGGATCTGAGTGGAGGATGCTCGGCCCAAATCCGAGTAGGTTTGGAGATCTCACAAAACAAACAAGCAAAAAAAAACTAACAGCATCTGTCTCTCTTTTTTTTCTTTCTTTCTTTTTTGAGCCACATCCAATGATGATCAGGGGTTACTCCTGGCTCTGCACTTAGGAATTACTCCTGCCGGTGCATAGGGGGAACCATATGGGATGCCAGGAATTGAATCAGGTTGGCCGTGTGCAAGGCAAATGCCCTATCCACTGTACTATCACTTGAGCCCCATCATCTCTATTATTTTTGTTTGCCCCTGCAAAGAATAAAACTTGCAGTCAGAGTATTATTACTCCAATTGTGAACTGGAGTGATAATACAGTGGATAGGGCACTTGCCTGATACATGGCCAAACAGGGTTTGATCCCTGGCACCCCATATGGTTCTCTGACCCCCACCAGTAATGACTGCTGAGCACTGTCAGGTGTGACTCAGAAAAAAAAAATGAGAGAATAAAGTGCTTGCCTTTGAATGCAGTCAACCCTAATACAATCCCTGGCACCACATGGCTTCCCAAGCACAGAACTGGGAGTAGGCCCTGGGCCATGTATGACCTCCAACCTAACCCCTGCCAAAATTAAAGAATAAATCTTGTCTTCTCTCCCTTTTTTCTGGTACCTAAGAGTTGGCACCATTCATCTAGTGGGGTTTTTTGTTTTGTTTTTTGCTTCTTTTGGGGGTCACTCCCAAGTGGATACTCAGGGTTTACTCCTGGCTCTGTACTCAGGGATCTGTCTTGGTGGGGCTTAAGGAAACATGTGTGGTGCCAGGGCTTGAACCTGAGTCAGCTGGTATGCCAGGCAAGTTCCCTACCCAGTATTCTGTCTCTTTGCCCAACATTCATTTGGTTTTACTATTGCTTTGAGTTATCCATATTAGCCCATATTAGAACAGTGTGTTTTCTCTTACAGGAAAACCATTATTGACCAACATGAAAAAGAGATTCACTATCTCCAAGATGTCTACATGGCCATGGAGCAGAACTACCTGGATTCTGAGTATGAAAGCAAGCTGGAGTTCCAGAGTATGTGGGACGATCTCAAAAACAAGGTATGGGGCAAGGAAACAGCTCCCAGGGCCGAGCCCGGCCCGGCAGTGCAGGGCCTTCAGCCCTGCACGGTCCCGCAAGGACTGCCGGCTCCCTGCACCAGCAAGGAAGCCCCAAAGCGAAGGCCAGGCAAGGAGAGGGCACGAATCCGGGGAGCAGTCAGAGGAAGGGGCTCCTGTTTCTCTAGCACAAGAAGAGATCCCTGAGTCACGAGTAAATGAAATGCCAGGCACTTGCATAGGGCGCCCACACTTCTTGTAATTTGGTGAAAACTGGTCAGGCAGTAAGAAATGTAACAAATGCCTCTTAGAGCCAAAAAGCACAAAGGAGATCCCCTGGCTTCCCTCTGATTCATAACTGAAGAAACTAACGGAGTGAAATGAACTGCCAAGCCCTGCTCCCATCCATGGAGCGGGGGGAGCAGCTGGCTCCAGCCTGGGCCCCAAGTGCTGCATTTCTTTTCTTTTTTCCCCCTCTGTTTTCTTTTCTCTCTTCTCTGTTCTATTTTATTTTTTTCCCCAGTGCCAGCTTATTTCCGTCATCCTTGCAGGTTGCAAACTTACTAGCCTCCAGACCTGGATTTGAATAATGGAGTTCTGTTTTGTTTTGTTTTAACCTGAGTCTCTTTATTAAATTTTTTTAATTAATTTTTTTTCTTTTTGGGCCACACCCAGCGATGCTCAGGGGTTACTCCTGGCTCTGCATTCAGGAACCCTCCTGGTGGTGCTTGGGGGATTATATGGGATGCTGGGGATCAAACCCGGGTCGGCCATCTGCAAGGTAAATGCCCCACCAGCTGTGCTATTGCTCCAGCCCCACCTGAGTCTCTTTAATAGAAAACCTCTCACTAATTTGACTTCCTGTGACATTTCCATGACCAGTAGGAATCATGTATTCATATCAGAGTGATAGAATTATTCACTTGATTCCTCAATTGGAGTTCTGTGTTGATTTTGCCCTGCTGTTTTGAAAATAATAATAATAATGATAGTAATAAGTTTTCCATATTTAAAAATTGGGAAATTGAGAGGCTGGAGAGATAGCACAGCGGGTAGGGCGTTTGCCTTGCACACGGCCGACCCGGGTTCGATTCCCAGCATCCCATATGGTTCCCTGAGCACCGCCAGGAGTGACTCTGGAGTGCAGTGCCAGGAGTAACCCCTGCGCATCGCCAGGTGTGACACAAAAAGCAAAAAAATTAAATAAATAAAAATTGGGAATTTGAACATAAGGAAACACATTTTTCAGTTTCCCTTTAAAATTGCAAGGATGGGTCGGGAGATACAGAGCTGGAGGGTGCTTTGCATGGGGAAGGCCCATCTTAACTCCAAGCACCTCACAGAGAGTAGGCCTTGAGCACCAGCAGGCGCGGCCAGAAACCAAAACCAAAACCAAACAAGCAAAACCACATGAACAACTTCTGGTTCCGATAACACTGCCCATATCCCCAGTGGAGCCAAACAGCTGGGCCCCACTGACACCCCTTTGGGTTAGCCACAGGCCCCACCTACCCTATAGCTCTTGTGTGAGCTGCCTGGCTTCTGTGGGCTTTGCTTGTTTTGGGATCAACCCAGCCATGCTCTGGGGTTACTCCTGACCTTGCACTCTGGAATAACTCCTGGCAGTGTTCAGGGGACCACATGAGATGCTGAGGGTTGAACCCAGGTTGGCGGCATGCGAGACAAGTGCCCTCCCTACTGTAGGATCACTCCAGCCCCTTGGTAGGCATTTTTTATTGGGGACCACTGCAATAGGTTGTACTGCGATCAATACAAGAAGGTGAGGTGCTGGTGGGCATGAAAGAGCCCTGACAGGGCAGGACTGAACACTGGCTATGTGGGGCCACTCCCTAGAATTTAGAAGAGAAGCATTTTCTAAGACTGCGGCTGGAGACTATAGTGGAGGACCTCTGGAGGCGGTTCCAGGAAGCACTCAAGCATTACACAGAGGCCACAGAGGACCGGAAGGTTGCCTTTGAGGCCCTGAGGGCCAAAGATGAGAAGAGCTCCAAAGAGATTGAGGAACAGATGAAAAAAATACAGAAACTGCAGGTGAGTACAGACAACCAAAACTCTTGCTCTCATCGTCCCATTATTCCCCATTCATGATCCCAGGTCTCACTGGGCCTCCGCAGGGGCGAGAGGGAGAGGGTGTGCTCTGATCTCAGTCCCCAGGTAGCCTGTACCAGTCTCTGAAGCTCCTCAGCTAGTCAAGTGTTTCATCTGCTCCATTCCTCCAGGACTCCATATTTATTCTAAAAGGCAAGATCCTTTTGCACATCCGTGAGAGTGAAGAACAGAATCAGCTCATTCGTAACGACAAGCAGGTGATCCTTGTACAGCTGCGAAAACTGAAGGCCCAAAAGTCTCAGACCCGGGCAATATCCAAGGAAAACTTAGTCAAACTCACCCTGGAAAGTAATGCCACCCTCAACGCCCTAAGGAAGACTGTGGATAAGGTCAGTGATGGGAGAGAGTGCTCAGAACAAGACCCAGGAACCTGGGCGCCTGCACACCACAGGGGGTCGGTCCCTTCCTAACAAAAGGTCTCTTCTGGCATCCCAAAGGGTGAAAAGATCCTTAAACTTGCTGAAATATGCAGGAAGTTTGAAACAGAGGAAGAAAAGGTGCTGCCCTTTTATTCATCAATACTGACTCCTGAGGAGCAGGAAAAGATTGAGGAACTTCACAGAGAGGAACTTACTGAGGATCTGGCAAAGGTCAAGTTCCCCAAGCCCAGGGGTTGGGTGTGGCAGGGCCGAGGGTATATTTGCTAATGGGCCCTAACTCCTGCCTCTCCCATGAATTCAACCCTAGGTCATAGGCGACTACAGAGGGATGCAGAATTTCTGGAAAAGGTTTAACAAAGTGAGGCTAGAGCAGCTGAGCCTGCAGTGTCAACACACCCAGCTGTCGGGTATCAACAAGAAGCTGCGGGAGATGCTCAAGCAGTACCTGGACGGCATCTCCGTGAGCGACGAAGTGCTGAGCCAGCTCAACCCACTCTTCGTCGTCAACTATCGAAGCAACTTAGCCCCGCCCCTGTCCATACCTGCACCCCAACCAGGTGACAAAAAACCTCTGCCCACTGTCCTCATTGATGCAGACCACATCTCCTCTCATATCCTGTGACACAAGAAGAAAATCACTTTTTCAGTCCCCAGAGAAGTTTGAGGCCTGAGACCTTAGCTATTAAAATTCGTTCTGGCATTTCTCAGTTCCTCCTTAGTGCGCCATTCTGGACACCGAGCAGAGCCATCTCTGTGAGAACCCAGGAACACTGCAGCACTGGCCTGGGAGGTAACAGCCCGGCAGTGACCAGGAGGCTCTCTGAGCTGGGAAGCAGGCTTCCTCGGTCACAGGGCTGGGAACATGCAAACTGCAGCTCCTTGGAGAAACTGAAGAGCAGGTTCTTGGGCTAAGTTAGAACAGAAAGGAGGTGAGTGGAAGAGGTGATCCAGAACCTCCAATCACACCAGGTCTGGCAAGATTTACCACAGAACACTGTCTTTCCCACTTAAAAAGGAGTCAGGGAGAGGGAGGAGAGAAGGGGCGGGGCAGAATCATAGTACAGCAGGTAGAGTATTTGCCAACGGCCAACCCAGGTCTGATCCTCAGCATCCCATATGGTCCCCAGAGCACCGAGCACTGCCAGAATTATTTCTGAGAGCAGAGCCAGGAGTAAGCCCTGAGCATCGCCAGGTGTTGCCAGCAACAACAGGAGTGTCTGGGCTGGAGAGATGGCTCGGTGAGCTGGAGCACAGGCTTTGTTGGTCATGTTTGATCCCTGGTACCGCCCGGTCCCTCAAGCTCCACTGGGTGTGACCTCTGAGCACCAAGCCAGGAGTAGCCCCTAAGGATCACAAATGTGATCCAAAACACCAACCAAACAAAAGTAGTCTTCAAAAATATCAGCGAAGACGACAAAGCAGTGTTTTTAAAATTTTTTATTATTTCTTCTTGCTCTTGTTTCGTTTCTCTTCCTTGAGCTTCTTTTTGGAGACTTTGGGTTTGCTGGCCTTTTTGTATAGGTGATACCCAATGAGACCCAGGAGGGCTGGCACCGTGGACATGCCGACCAGAGGCAGAATGCCCCTCACCAGCTTTTGCCAGTAGTTGGCTCGGATCAGTGCGATCAGCTCCACGTCAAATTGCAGCACTGCGTCCGCTGGAGGCAGAGAAGAAGTGAGGATCAGAAACCGTTTATACTTCATCCAGAGCTAAGAATCTGAATGGAGGGGGCTGGAGCGATAGCACAGCGGGTAAGGCGTTTGCCTTGCACGCAGTGAACATGGCCAACACAGGTTCGATTCCCAGCATCCCTTATGGTCCCCTGAGCACCGCCAGGAGCAATTCCTGAGTGCATGAGCCAGGAGTAACCCCTGAGCATCGCTGGGTGTGACCCAAAAAGCAAAAAAAAAAAAAAAGAATCTGAATGGAAACTAGGAGGTAGATCAAAAAAACAGCTGGGAAACTGGCAAGATATAAATATGGGGTTGAATTTTCTGAGCAAAAGTAGAGAAGGGTTAAGAACAGACTTCCGTGGGGCTGGAGAGGTAGTACCACAGGTAAGGCCTTGCATGCAGGCGACCTGGGCTCAGTCAATCCCCCCCAGCACCATATATGGTCCCCTGAGCCCTGCCAGGGGCAGCACAGAGCCAGGAATAAGCCCCGAGCACTGCCCCCATCCCTACCCTCACTTCCCACCCCCTGACACACAGAGAAGACTTTATAGAAGTGTGGTTGTCATAGTCAGGTTGTAAAAAGCACAAGAAAGTCTCTCTGTGATCTGAGATATACAGGCTGTTCTCCGTAAGTGGGAAAACCTCCAAATTACCTGTTCTCTGCTTACAGAAACACAGATGGAATCTTTGCACCCAGGAATTAGTTGGATTTAAAGTAAACTTTAAATTCTACCAACCAGGGGAAAGAATGTCTGTACAGCGGGTGGGGCGTTGGCCTTGACCCGGCGTCAACCCCCAGTATCCCATTTGTTTGCTCTGAGCACCTCTAGGAGTAATCCCTGAGCGCAGAGCCAGGAGTTACCCCTGAACAAAACTGAGTGTGACATCCCCCCACCTCCACCAACCAATATGCACACTCAGTGTTATTTATATTAGGAAAGTGCGGTGTCTCATACAGGAACTGGAGAAGAAGCGCAGCTTAACTAGCAAGCAGGCAGCACTGGAAGCGGGGCTGACTGACCCTCTTGCCAGGTCTCCCTGCAAATGAACGAAGGAAAAGCCTTCTCCTATATTCCAAGGCAGAACACATTTTTTTTTTTTGCTTTTTGGGTCACACCTGGCGATGCACAGGGGTTACTCCTGGCTCTGCACTCAGGAGTTACTCCTGGCGGTGCTCAGGGGACCATATGGGATGCTGGGAATCGAACCCGGGTCGGCCGCGTGGTGCAAGGCAAGCGCCCTACCCGCTGTGCTATCTCTCCAGCCCCCAAGGCAGAACATATTTTAACAAACAGAACATCTATTATAATCCAAAGCAAGGGGATAGTCATTTGGGGAAATCTCACCTATCTCTTGCTTCTAGAATAGTTATTAGCATTAGGGCTGGAGCCATAGTACAGCAGGCAGGGTGTCTGCCTTACACGCAGCGACCCAGCTTACAGCCGGCATCCCATATGGATCCCGGAGCCCCACCTGGAGTGATCCCTGAGCACAGTCAGGAGTAACCCCTGAACATGGTCGGGTGTGGCCCCAAAACAAAAGGAATAGTTATCAGAAATAACCTGGAACGGCTTTAAAAAGTTATGCGGTGGGCTTGGGTCTTCAAGTGCATGGTTTTGTTTTGCTCTGAGTTACTTGACTAGGAGCATTTTCAGTATCAAACAAATGGGATACTGGGGGAGGCTCAGAAGAGGGTGACGGTGTGATGGGAAGCCCTCACAGCTACACACACAACCTGGCACTTCGACGAAGCCCGGACCCTGCAGGAGGAAACTCAGCAGCGGTCTCTTCACCGAAAAGGTGCTGCCGCCGGGCAGCAAGTCAGCTGGCCCTAGCAGGTTACCATCTCTGGGCTGCTGGCAATGTGAGGAGGGGGAAAAAGGCCCTTTCTGAGCTACCTGAGTTCGAGGCCCCTCTAGAGGAAAGGTGCTGCATCAGAAGAAGGGCCCAGCCCCTCTTTTCCCCTCCGTAAACTGAGTTTAGTCCTTGTCAAGTGGCAAAGTGGGAGCTCCAGGGGGCCGAGTACATTGATGATCTGAGAGACCACGTCAGATTACCTGGGATAGATGGTGGAAATCCCCGCTTTCCATAGGCCAGGTGCGAAGGAATGATTGCCCTCCGCTTCTCTCTGGGGGAAGGAAAGTGAGTCACAGCCAGAGGCGGGGGCAGATGGGCCGCTGAGAAGAGCCCTCTGCAAATTCAGCCCCCAGACAGGCACCTTCCATCAACCATGAGCACCATAAGGCCAACAAGCAAAGGCATCCGTCCCCTGCTGGGCACCAACACCTCCCCCCAGAGCCCAGAGAAGCTCCCCCCCTTCCCGTCCCCCCCCTCCACCCGCAGCAGTACTCACCCCACACACATGTCTAGAAGGCTCTGCTCCAGACCTTAAGGAAGAAGACACAGCAGGAAGCGACTCATGTCCCCCAGGCCCAGGAGAGGGGACAAAGGCGCTCCCTTGACCCTCAGCGGAGCGGCCCCCTTGGCAAACCTCTGGCCTCCAGTGGAGTCCGGGGCAAGAGGAGGACTGGAGTCAGGTTTGAAGCCAGGAGGCGGCTACTGAGAACACTGAACCCTGAGCAGAGTCTTCGGGACATTTCCGGCCAGGCCCGGCGCTTGAACTGCTGGAGGAGGCGGACCGGGAGCCCGCGGCCACATACCTGGGATCACCTGCTTCTGGCCCAGCTCAATGACCAGAGGGTCTCTGGTGAGGGACGTGTCGATGATGCGGCCATCTACCAAGCTGCCCTGCGGGGCGAGCAGAGCGGGGAGAGCCCCTCCTCGTACCGGGCGGCGGGGCCGGGCAGGCCCGGGGCGGCGGCGGGGGCGGCGGCGGGGGGCGCGCCCCTCCCCCCGCCACGTGCGCCGGGACCCCGAGCCGGGGGAGCGGGCACCGCGTGCCACGTGTCCCAGCGCGGCTGACGTGTCCCCGCAGGCCCCGCCCGCGGCCTCACCGTGTAGTGGATGTGCAGCGTGTCTCCCACGGCGGCGGGCTCGGCGCACGGCTCGGGGGGCTGCACCTGGGGTCGCACGGCCGGCGTCACCGGGGCGCCCGGGGCCCGCCCCCTCGGACCCCCGCCCGCCTCGGCCCGGGGCGGCCCCTCACCAGGGTCTCCACTTGCAGGGTCCGCGGCGGGCTCTCGCTCTCGGCCCCCGCCTGGGCCCGGCACGCCGGCCCGCTCAGCAGCAGCAGCAGCAGCAGCGGCGGCGGCAGCCGGAGCGGCAGGAGCGCGGGCCGCGGGGCCATGGCAGGAGCGAGGACAGCGGCTCCCGGGGCGCCCAGGCCGGACCGGACGGGACGGGGCGGGGCGGGCGGCTGCGGGCTCCTCCCCCGACGGCCCGGCCTCCGCCGCGTCCCGCCCCCGGGCGGCGCGGGAGGGGCCGGCGGGTTCCGAGCCGTCCGTTAGCCGGGGGCGGGGGGCCCCGCGCGGGGCTGGGTGCCGGCGCGCTCGCCCGTGGGTGGGCGCCGGCGCTCGTCGGCGCTCACCGGCCCCGCCCCCGCCCCCACCCCGGGCCCGGGGCCGGGCTCGGCCCGCGCCTCGCTCGCCCGCCCACCTCCCCGCTCGCCCTCCCGCGGAGCGGCGGTTGCCCGAGGAGGCAGGGGGTGGCCCCGCGCGGGCCCGTCGGAAAGTTCGTTGGAGCGCGCCCGGGCAAAAGGAGAGGGAGGGAAAGGGGAAAGGGAGAAGGTACCTGCCGCCGAGGCGGGCGGGAGGGAGGGAGGGAAACTGGGGCCCCGGTGGTGGGAGTAGACGCTGGTGAAGGGACGGGTGCTGGGACCTGGCAGGAGTGAAACCCGATCGCGAGCAACTTTGTAACCGTGTATCTCAAGGAGATTCAGTGAACAAAAGAAAAAGAGCAAAGGGCATTCCCCGCCCCCAACCCCCCCACACACCCCTTCCTCGGACCCTAACTTTTCCTTTCTCCTTTCGTTGACTCCTTGAAAGACTGCTGTGTGTGGAACCCTTTCATAATTGCGCAGGGACTTGAAAGGGTATGGGGAGGTTGTTTTGTTCTGGGGGTCACATCCAGTGGTACTCGGGAGTGACTCCTGGCAGTGCTCCGAGGCCGTATTTTGATACTGGGTATCCAACCAAAGTCAGCTTTAGGCAAAACAAGTGGCTTCTGTACTCTCTCTCCTCCCTCCCTCTCTCCTCTGTACTCTCCTCCCTCTCCCCCCACCCCACCAAAAAGGTCTTATTTTTTTCAGTGTGTGTGGAAGGGGTAGGGTGGGGGCCATACCTGATGGTGCAACCCAACTTTATGCCAGGGACTGAACCGGGGTTGGCTGGATGCAAGGCTGCTCATGCCTTGTACTATGGCTCTGTTTTTGTTCTTCTGTGGGTCTTTGTTTTTTCCACACCCCATGGGTTTACTCCTGGCTCTGCACTCAGAAATTATTTCTGGCAGTGTTTGGGGAGGGTCCATGTGGGATGCCAGGGATAGAACCCAGTTTGGCTGCGTGCAAGGCAAATCCCATATCTGCTGTGCTATTGCTCCAGTGCCTCACTCTAGTTCTTAAAAGGGTTTTAAAATTATTCCGGATCATCACTCTACTAGTTCATTCTACATGATTTAAACCCTTACAGCCCACTTAGGCCTTGGCCTCTGGATTCTGTTTCCACAGAAGTCCTCATTGAGAGGCTGGAACAAGTACAGCGGGCAGGGTGATTGATTGTCTTGCATGCAGTCAACCTGGGTTTGATTCCCAGCACCACATATGGTCCCCTGCCAGGAGTGACCTCTGAGTGAGTCTGAGCACCCCTGGGTATGTGCCCCCCCCCAAAAAAAACCCAAAAAACTTGGGGCTGGAGCAATAGCATGGCAGGTCGGGCGGTTGCCTTGCATGCGGCCAACCCGGGTTCAATTCCCAGCATCCCATATGGTCCCCTGAGCACCGCCAGGGGCGATTCCTGAGTGCAGAGCCAGGAGTAACCCCTGTGCATCTCTGTGTGTGACTCAAAAAGCCAAAAAAAAATTTTATTGAATAAAAAATCCAAAAACTTAAAAATTGTTATTTTAGAAAATGTCCTCATTGAGTTCAGTCACCAAAGTCTGGGCTCCTGCTTTGGTCCTTGGGCTCTTCAACACCTGTCCGGTGTTTGGTGGTCCGTACACACTCCAGATATAACTGGCCTGGGACTGGCTACCTCCACCTGGACATTTGGTGGCACCTCAAACTGATTTGTACTAATTTCCTTCTCCTCCTCTCCTAAATTTCAGTTTCTTTTAGTTGCCCTGCTCTCAGCATTCCCTTGGAGTCTCCGCTCTCCTCCCCTCAGTTGCAGTCAGTTCCTTGGATTTGCTCTTCATGGCCCCTTTAGCTTTCTTTTCACTTTTTGACCACACCTGTCAGTGCTCAGGGCTTACTCCCGGCTCTGCACACAAGGATCACTCCTGGCAGGGCTCGTGAGACATATGCCATGTTGGGGATCAAACCCAGGTTGGTCATGTGCAAAGCAAGTGCCCTACCCATCATATTATCTCTCCACTGTGCCCCTTTCAGTTTCTAATTTCCGTTCCATGCTACCACCTTGGGCTGGAGCAATTAGCACAGCGGGTAGGGCGTTTGTCTTGCAAGCAGCCAACATGGCCAACCCGAGTTCGATTCCTCTGTCCCTCTCGGAGAGCCCGGCAAGCTACCGAGAGTATCTCGCCCGCACGGCAGAGCCTGGCAAGCTCCCCGTGACGTATTCGATATGCCAAACACAGTAACAAGTGTCACAATGGAGACGTTACTGGGCCCACTCAAGCAAATCGATGAACAACAGGAGGACAATGACAGTGACAGCCTACCACACTAATCAAATTTGTATTTTCTCTTTGTTTTTTAAAAAAGACAAAAAGCTGTGGGCCAGGAGATGGTAGGTACAGTGATTAGGACAGATGCCAAGAAAACACCATACCCAGGTTCAATTCCTGGTACCATATAGTCCCCAGACACCCCTGAGTGTAGCCCTAGAGGTTCCCAAATACAGCTGTGGTGGCGTATTCCTGGCACAGAGGGTCTAAGCAGCATTACCAATGGAGCCCCTGGGCCTCCTCAACACTACTTGGGAGACCCCTGCCCCCAAAACGCTGAGTGCATTTTGTTTTTTATTTTTTTTTTGTTTTTTTTGCTTTTTGGGTCACACCTGGCAATGCACAGGGGTTCCTCCTGGCTCTGCACTCAGGAGTTACTCCTGGCGGTGCTCAGGGGACCATATGGGAAGCTGGGACTCGAACCCAGGTCGGCCGCGTGCAAGGCCAACACCCTACCTGCTGTGCTATCTCTCTAGCCCGAGTGCATATTTTGCACACAGGAGACCCCAGGTTTTCTCCTCAGCACCACATACTCTAAACCTCTGAACCTGTGGGGCGCACTCAAAGTACTGAGCCCCAAGTACCACTGTGTATTACACACACACACACACACACACACACACACACACACGGACAAGGCTCAGGGATAACTTCTGACTCTAGCTCAGCTAAATGTGTTTGGTGTAAGTAGTCTAGGGCTGGCACGGGAATTCCAGTATTCTTCCCTTTGGCTTCAGAATTTTAGCAAATAGTTTCTATCCTTTTGGGTCTAAAATGGCCTCAAGAAGGGCCAGAGCGATAGACAGTACAGCAGGTAGGATGCTTGCCTTGCAGGTAAGGTTCGACCCCCAGCACCCCCTATATGGTTCCTGAGCACTGCCAGGAGTGATTTCTGAGCACAGAGCCAGGAATAAGTCCTGAGCACAACCAGGTGTGGACCAACCTTTACCTCAATAATAAACAACATAAAAACTAAAACTTTTTCTTTTTAACGTCTTTTCCCCTTTGGGATTTTAGGTCACAATCGGCGATGTTCAGGGGTTATTCCTGGGTCTGCACTCAAGAAATACTCTTGGAGGTGATTGAGGCACCTTATGGGATGCCAGGGATCAAACCCTGGTCAGTCACGTGCAAGGCAAATGACCTGCTGTACTGTCACCCCAGTCCCTACAATTTCTGTATTAAATGCCATTGTTGAATATGGTGTCTTCCCTTTCCCTCCCCTCCCCTTTCTTTCCTTTTCCTTCACCACACTTGACTGCGCCAGGGCTTGCTTTTTGCTCTGCATACATGATTCATTCCTGCCTGGCTCAGGACTGGAGTACTTGGGGATCAAACCCAAGTGGGATGCCTGCCAAGGCAAACACTTACCTGCTGTACTTTCTCTTCAGCCCCCACCTGATAAATGTTTCTAAATTAAACCCAAGCCTCATCCTGTCCAGAGCCTGTGGCCTGGCACCTGATGAACCTACACCCTGGGCTCTAACCTGGGAGCCTGGCTCTGGCTCTTTCTCACCGTCAAGTTGCATCCAGGATGAGCTCACTCGTTAAGCCCACGCCTTAGCTACAGTGCCCTCTTGTGTGTTCTTCAGGAATGCACTCGGTACATCAGTGCACTTCCCCTGTGCTGCAGGATTTCTACAGGCCAGACCCCTCTTCCCAGCAGCTCACCAAGGCAAGAACAAAGCGTGGTCGTGTCTGCAGTCCCCTACGTACTAATTGTACAGTATCCTTCATGTATGGAGTTCTACACAAACATGCTTTATTTTGAACAGAGACCCACTGGAAAGGAAGACCTAACTGCACTAATGTGGAAACCAGACAAATATACTCTTAAAAATGTCGGGGGTGGGGGTGCTGGAGCGATAGCACAGCGGGTAGGGTGTTTGCCTTGCACGCAGCCGACCTGGGTTCGATTCCCAGCATCCCATATGGTCCTCCGAGCACCGCCAGGAGTAATTCCTGAGTGCATGAGCCAGGAATAACCCCTGTGCATCGCCGGGGTGACCCAAAAAAAGCAAAAAAAAAAAAAAAGAAAAGTCAGGGGGGAGCTAGACAGTACAGAAGTGCTGGCCTTGCACACACCACACCCAACCTCCAGGGTTCAATCCCAGCCACGTATGGATCACAACCACCCCGAGGCGTGATCCCTGAACACAGCACTGAGAACCACTGGGAGTTGCCCCCAAACAAAACAAAACAGCTAGGTGCCAGATAGCATAGGGGTTCAGGTGCTGGCCTAGTACTACCGATGCAGGTTCAATTCCCAGCACCACAGAGGGTCTCCTGAACATCACTAGGGTAATCCCTGAATGCCATTCAGGGTCAGAAATAGCCCCTGGCTACCACTCTACCCTTGGAAAAAGTATGGAGTTGGGCTGGGCAGCTAACTCATAGGGTGGAGTGTCTGTTTTGTATGTGGGAGATTCAAATTTGATCTCCAATACCACATAGTCTCCAGTATCTCCAGGACATCTTGAGCACAACTGC